ACACACACACACACACACACACACACACACACACACACCCACACACAAACACACACACACACACACACACACACACACACACACACACACACACACACACACACACACACACACACGCACGCACGCACGCACACACACACACACACACGCACGCACGCACGCACGCACGCACGCACGCACGCACGCACGCACGCACGCACGCACGCACGCACGCACGCACGCACGCACACACACACACACACACACACACACACACACACACACGCGCGCGCGCACGCACGCACGCACGCACGCACGCACGCACGCACGCACGCACGCACGCACGCACGCACGCACGCACACACACACACACACACACACGCGCGCGCGCGCGCACGCACGCACGCACGCACACACACACACGCGACGCACGCGATGCACACACGCACGCGATGCACGCGCGCGCAGCCAAGCACGCGTGCACGCGCACGCACACGCACAGCCAAGAGAGGCCGTGAGCAGGCGATGGATTGCCCCCTCTCCGTCGGCCACCTCGCCAACCACCCCCCGCGCGGCCGCGGCGCCAACGTGCTCGCGTGTGCCGTCGACCTCGACGCCTCCTCCTTGCCCGAGCGGGTGCTGCCGCTGCTGCCGTATGTGCGCGCGACCGAGGTTGGGTGGAGGCTGCGGCTGGATCGCGGCGACGCGCCGCCCACAGAGGTGCGAGCGCTTCCTCGCACGGTGGCCGGTTCCGCCGCTGCGCCGCAAATTGCGGCGCGGAGGCGACCGATCGATGCGCTGACAGAGATGATACAACACTCGCTGTCGGAGATGGCGGTGGCGCAGGCGGCCGAGGACGCGCCGCCGCGCGGCCTTTGTGCGGCTCTTGTTCACAGTGTGCGGTGTGAATAGGCGGCCAAGGACGCGCCGCCGCGCGGCCTTTGTGCGGGTCTTGTTCACAGTGTGCGGTGTGAATAGGCGGCCGAGGACGCGCCGCTGCGCGGCCTCGTGCTGGTCGCGTCCCGCGACATCGAGGATGAAGAGCTCTTCCTCGACTACCGGCTCAACCCGGCGACGCGCGACAAGTGGCCCGGCTGGTACGTGCCGCTCGACGAGGAGGAGGCGGCGCGGCGATGGGGTTGACCGGGGGGCTCCCGGATCTCGCGTTGCTGTGATTCGAAAGCCGCGAGGGGCGTGCCGCGGCGCCCGAGACGCAGATAGGCAAAGAATTTCAAAGCGAAGAAGGGGGCCTTCTTATGGAACTACACTGTAACCTACCCCTCCGCGCTCCGGGGTAAATAAGTAAAGGCGGCCCCTCACCTCGGTGCTAATACCTCGCGGACGGGCGGGGCACATCCACATGCCGCCTCTCTTGTTCACGGCGGCTTGGCACACGAATATTTCGGAACTGGTTGGGTAGTAGTCTAAGTTCTGAGCCTCGAGGCTGAGCGGGTCTAAGTGTGACTAGTCACGCTGGGGTGCTTACGCGGTCTAAGATCAGCGAGAGCCTCTTACATCGGCTAAGTCGGCCGTGGCACAGCCTGGGGCCAAGAGGCTCCCACCGTGATCAACGATACGGCGCTAGCCCCCAAATTTTCTTCGCCTGCGGCGGGCGCCTTCTAATCCGGATCGATCCTCCTCATGCCTCAGCAATCGCCGCCTCAGCATCCTCCTCTTCCGATTCTCGTTGCTCTTCTTGAGCGCAATCTCTAGCCAAACATTTCTCACATAAATAGCCTCAAGCTCAAACAAACGCATGTCAGAGAAGCCTGTGTATGCTGGTCCTCTTTGAACGATCCGCGCGTGAGGTAGATCTAGCATAGGGCCTTGTTGGCAGCAGCCAGCTTGTTGCGCTGCTTCGCGTTGCGATGAGCTGGTTGGGATCGCACAAGTGCATGCCAAGCACCGCCACGATCTTGAAGCAGAACACATCGCAACCGCATCGTCCGCACTGCCATCGGCATGCCGCGCCCGCCGCTTCGCCGCAGCCGCCTTAAGGCACGCATAGCGGCAGCACATGGTACGGTGCGCGTACTTGAGCAGGAGTTGCGCGCCGCAAGTAGCGCACTGGCCCTGGGACAAGGCGATATGGCGTCGTGCGCGGCATACGTTGGTCGGGACGCGTCCAGGTATTTTTCGGGTAAACCTGGACTTTTGCAGGTATACCCGGGTTTTACCCGGATTTGGCCTTGTGCCGTCTAAGTTCATGGCCCCCGACCATACAGCGTCTAAGTCCGAGCCCGGCTCCGTGCGGGGGCTAAGTTGAGCGCTTGCTCGCTGCAGAGGCTAAGTGTAGAGCGACCCTCTAGCCCTACTACCCAACCATTATTTCGGAAAACAAACGACCTCCAGTGTCACACGACGGGGCGGATAGGGCGCAGTGCTTGCCTGCCTCGTCCTTTTGAAGCGGAGAGAGCCGCGAGGTTTGAACCAACGAAGTGAAGAAGCAAACAATTCTGCAGCGGCAACGCAGCGTGATGACTCCTCACCAGCAGCATTGGTCAATAATCACGTCGCCTCTCGCACCCCACACAAAGTCGTACCGGCCGCCGAAGAGGAAGTGCAGGTGCTCCAAGAATATGGGGCTCTTGCGGTTGTTTGATACCCTCACCTGCACCTGTTTTGTCGCGAACGAAAAGTTGCGGCTCGCCACATAGGCCCGCCCACCGAAGCTCCCATACTTGGGCTCGAACTTCAGCACCTGCTTCTGCCTCTCATCAAGCCCCGCAGGGTCCTTGGCCAGATTCGCCGCCGCCTCTGCGGCCTCGCCGTCGCTATTGAAATCGGCACGATCGATGATAGCGTGCATCGGGTACCCCGCCCTCTTTGCAAGGCGGTGCCCGGTCCCTACGTACAGTGGGAGGGCGGCGCCGTGCAGCATCGGCAACGCGAGCTTTTCGTCGAGGGCCTCGCTGTCCGGCCTCTGGTTACGCGACATGGAGATCATCATCTTTGTAGTCAGCACGGCATCCTGGCCCTTTATGTACCGTGGGCGGCTTGAGCCCGCCTTGCACGCGCCCGAGTGCTCGAACCGCAGCCCCCTCCCCTCGAAGATCCGCCTCACCGTCTGGGCGAACTGCTCGCGTTGCGGGTCGCAGTTCGAGCTCTGGTACAGCATGTCGACCGGCCGGGTCGACAGCGCCGAGGCATTTACCGGGGGGCGCAGCATGGAGAAGTGGCGCATGGGCGCCCAAAAGGTGTTCTCCGGTCTCAGCGCGCGCTCCCGAGCCACTGCGATGCAGAGCACCACGTGGTAATTGGCCGCCTTTTCCGCGGCGATTGCTCCGGGCTCTCCGTAAAAAAACACCCGAAACGGCCCCCCCAGGGTCCCTGGCTTGTGCACTTTCGAATGTCGTGCGACCACACTGTGCGCCAACGTTGACAGTGCGCTGCTGCAGTTGCAGTGGTAGAGAGGCCGGCCCGGTGGGAAGCCGCAGCGGAAGGTGACATGGGCCTGGCCTCCGCATCGGAACTGCCCTCTGCATCGAGTCCACACGGTCCGCTCGTCGACGCAGCCGTAGGTGACGCCGTACTCGCACGCGAGCCGGCTCTGCTCCTCTGTCACGACGACCTTGCAGGCATCGCGTCCCTTCTCAGCGAGCTCGTTGCGCCTCGCGAGCTCCGACCGCACGTGCAGCTCCTCAAAGGGCGCGGTCGCCGCGTCGCCCCATCCAAACTTCGCCTGCAACCTCTTGCGTTCCTGCTGCTCTGCTCGCCACCAGCAAGCGTCGCGCCCGACCGGCGTGACGAACTTCTGGCTCCCTACGTGAGCCGCAGGAGCATGGCTGTGGCAGTGAAGACTGGCGTTATAGACGACTTGAATGCAGCTCTCGTCAAGCTTGTGCATGCTCCAGGGGCAGTGAGCCGGCGAATCCGCGAAGTGGGCGATGATGCGGATCCCATGAATCGGAGCCGCTGACATCGTCGACCAAAGCGCGTTGTTCCACACGGCGTCGTTCCAAACAGCGGCCGGGACACCCGCACGCTGAAGAGCGCCGCGCATAAAGTTCTCGTTTTGGTCAACGTGGATCGCGCACACCCGAGGCAGCAGGTTGTAGATGCACCTAGGGTGAATAGGGCGGCCGGTATTGTGCAGAGTACTCAAGAGCACCGCGTGAAGACGAATACAGTGAGGACAGTTCAGTCCGGCGGCACGCGAGTAGCCTCTCGAGCGCTTGTTACAAGAATCGGATTCCGCTTCTAGGGTGCCACGTCAGGAGTCGGTCGTCGCTCGGGCCGCAAAGCATTCGCTGTGTGCAGCTCACCCAGTCGGCGGATGTGATGGCGTCGAGCACTCCGCGGGACAGGAGGATGCCTGTGCCGCCGTAGAAGAAGAGTGGCGGCACGCGGTACGAAGCGACCCCCTTGCTCCAGCTGACCTTCCATCCGTTGGCCGAGGGTGCGGTTGGGCAGGCGCAGCAGCCGTGCTCGCTGTTGTTCCGCTCGTCACCCTCCGTGCCCCCCGCGCAGACGTCGGCAGCACGGCAGGGGACGGGCCGAGTCAACTCTGCCGATCCCCTTTGCAGGCGGACTCGCGGAGTGGAGAAGCCCACGTATCCAAGCACGTTCGGCTCAGCGGAAGAGAGGCCTCTGACTTGGCGCTGGATTTCGCGCTCAAAGGGCATGCTGTCGTCGTCGCCGACGAAGAGCCAGTCGGAGGAGTGCATGACGGTGCTGTTTGCCACGTGCGCGGCCCACAGCATGTTGGCGTCCGTGGGGAACCGCTCGAACGCGCTCTTCCGGTGCACTGGCTTGTAGAGCGCTGCCCACGGCCCCGTCGGCTGGTCCGGGATAAAGATGTGAGGCTTGCCGCGCAGCCAGGTCGCGTTCGAGAGCTGAAAGCGGGACGATTCCGCCCGGCCGTACAGCGCGTAGGCGATGCGAGCCGCGGATTTGGAGCCCGCCGCCGTGGGATGCTCCCGCGCCCAGCCGCACGGCGCCGTCATGTCCCGACGCGATGGGACACTGGTGGAGGCCACGCCGGAAGCGCCGAGAATCGCGATGAAGCTGAGACCAGAGCGAGCTTGTGCGCGGCCCTCGCGAGCCATTGCCCGCTATCTCGAGCCGCCTGGCGGCGAGGACTCACAAAAACGCCGGCCCGAAGCAAGAAAAAGAATTTCCGCGCGTGCTCCTTTTTGCAAATCAAACTTTAGAAAAAGGACACAGCATGATTCACGCGACAGACAAGGCGCGGGCGACAGCTACCTCAGAAGCCGTCGCCCCGAGCAATCACACGACTCCACAAGAAAAAGAATTTTACAACCAAAGGCAAAGCCTCTCGCACACGCACGATTCTCACGACAGACAAGGCGCGCAGGCGACGGCTTCCTTAGAAAAAGATTTTTACTCCGCGAAAGATTTCGCAATTCCACGAGCATGCCGGCCGCCGTCCCCTTTCAATCGGAAGTCAGCTGCCCCCACTTCATGCAGTGCATATACGGCGCCGCCCCGTGCTGCTTTGGCTTTACGCCGACGCAGTGGCACGGCACCGACGCGTTCCACCCCCCTCTCAGAATATGCGCGTGGGCCGGCGGGATGCAGCTGCGCGTATGCATCGTGGGCCCTCCGCCCTTGTACGGGCTGGTGTAGGCGATCTGGTCCCAGTGCGTCCACAGGATCTCTGGCTTGAGCACGCCCGCAGACCCGCCTTTGTTGAAGCCCTCGAAGAAGTCCGTGAACTGCACCTGTGGGGCGTGCAGATTCGGTCGTGTCTGCTGGCACTTCCGATCTCCCATTGCGAGCCCGGCGCGGACACAGTCAGGGGTGTGCATCAGCGGCTGACGCGCCGACTGCGATGTGGCGGGGCGTGGTGGCGGGCACCGTATCCAGCCCGCTCGCATAGGCCCGTCTCAGGATGGCAACCTCGGCCCCCATCGCTCGCCCGAGCGAGGCGCACTCCCCCTTCCCCACCCCTTGCGGACAAAAGTGGTCGACGGCCTGCTTGTGATTCGTGAACGCCGTGGTGTTGCCGAGGTTGAGAAACACCCCGGAGCCGGGAGCGCGGTAGAACCAGAACCCCATGTGGACAGGGTCGCCCGATGTGTGTATCACCTATCAATCATTAAGTCGATCGTTCGATGTGTGCATCCCCTGAGCATGAGGGTGGGAGGGAGCGCCACAGTCAGCCGCGGCGCAGTGGAGTTGGATTCGGGGAAGGCTGCGCCCAGGAGTGTGATGCACGCGCGCGGCTCGGTGCAACCTCGGCGAATGAGTGACTCGGCAACCCCGTCGGGTCTGGCTCAAACGACGACAAGTCGGCCCGTCTGTGCGGCCCACTCGGCGCCCGGCACGACTGGCGTAGGCGGCATCGGTAGACGTGGGCCGCGGAAAGCAGACCACCCAGAGAGTAGAGGTCGCCGGACTTGATTGGGCAGGGCGACCCCGCCTCGATGATCTGCAGCGATTGGAGCACGCGGCCCGGCAGCCTGTCGCGGTAGAAGAAATGAAGCGCGGAGAGGTGAAGTGGGAACTGGATCGTGTCCAGGCCGTACACGAAGGAGAGGTACCCCTCCCACTCGCCGAGGTCTGCCGCAGATGCGAAGGAGCGATTCAGCGACGGCCTCGCCTCAGGACAGGCGAGACGGGGAGCTGCGCGGCGGCGGCTCCCGTCACAGTGGCATTCGTACGAGGCTTGGCCCGGCGGGAAACCGCAAGGCACCGCCCTGTTGTGGCCTGCGCATCGGAAGGTTCCACGGCAGTTTCGAACCCACACCGTCGGCCGCCCGTGCCGCATCTCGCAACCAAAAGAGCGACCCTCTATGCATTCGGATTTGCTGGCACTTTTTACGAGAGCGACATTGCACAAAGGTCCGGACGGTCCGATGCGATGATGAGTCGAACGCGACGAGCCGAAGGAAGACTCCGTTGCGAGCGAGATTGTGGTCATCTGGTTAGCGTCCACCCATACCGCGTTGGGAGAGAGAGAGATTTAGATTTCTTCTCCGCGTTGGTGTCCAGTCCGAGCCTGGCTGTTCTTCACCTTTCTACCTAACCTAACCTAACCTGTGGTATGGTGAGAGGAACACACACACGCACACACGCACACACGCACACGCACGCACGCACGCACACACTTCAAGATTGTTTTGAAAACCAAAAGAAATCTTTCGCGTAGTGAAATGGACGCGCTTCCTCGCTAGGTTGCAGAGACTCGAAAGTATGTGTATCGCGCGCCTTGCGGGGGGGGGCGCGGAAAAGAGGAACCTCTTAGCGCCAAGTAAGTAACACACAGCGGGAGAGCGTCTCCTCGTTGAGGTCGGGAATCAGATCGCCTGCTCTAGCCCTATCACGCGTGTTAATGGGTTGCGCGTCTAGGCTGGTGAGGAGCCGCCCAGCGCTCTTCGCCGCCCTCTCCACCGCCATCCTCGACGCCGCCATCGCCGCCGCCCCCGTTTTTGCCTCCACCATCTCCGCCTCCACCCTCTCCGCCACCGTGTCTTCCGCCGGCCGGGTAATTACTCGATCGAGTAGGTAGGACAATACATAAAGAGAGAGGGGCCTAGAGAACACAACCCCCTCTCTCTTTTCTCCCAGTAAGCTAAAAGTACGTACGTACATAAATCATAATGTGTACTCGTCCGCGTCGTCCATCATCACCCATACCGCGCTTGCGCCGGCGCGGCTACTTTGTGTACATCCCCGAGATTGGGCGCATCACTTCTACCAACGACGTCTACTTTGACGAGCGCTCCTTCACGCTGCTTGGCGATGTGATGTCCAATGTCAAGCTCCGAGGCGGCAGCCGCGTCCAAAACATCACCCCGCCTGCGCCGCCACCGACGACGCCAGCCCTTCCCGGCACGGCGCCGCCCGTCGTCGTCGATGCATTCGTCCCCGCCGACGCCAACGCAGTCGAGCTCGCTCGACGCTGCGATGGGGCGTGGGAGCTCAGCGACTTCGTCATCGGCGCGTCTGTCGCGGGGCGGGGTACCGGAATGGTGGCACTGAGGCCCGTTTGGTGCGGTCACCCTCCCCCGCGACAGCGTCTGCCGACACCTCAGCCTCTGTGCACTACCGTTCTGACATTGTGGGGGAGGTGCTGGAGGTCAGTGCGCAGATCGGACCCGTGCCCATCCCGAGGAACGCCGAGGACGCCGTCAAATACCCCCTCTACGGCAAGTCGTGGCTAGCTGCGATGACTGGATTTGCGTGCATTAAGCGCCTTGAGCTCAAGATTGGTGGGTGATGACTTTGTCGGCAAATCTCAGGACAACGGTGCGTGGGAGCTCGTCGCCGAGCTGCGGCCCGGCAAGCGCGCCATCAAGGGCAAGTGGGTCTTCCGTGTCTTCTACAAGGACGACGGCTCCGTCGACCGCTTCAAGGCGCGCTGGGTCGCCTGCGGGTACAGCCAACGCCCGGGCGTCGACTACCTCGAGACTTACTGCGGCACGCTGCGGATCGAGACGCTCCTCATCTTCCTCGCCGACTGCAACGCCAACGACGACGAGCTCGAGCGCTGGGACGTCGTGAAGGCGTTCACTTCCACCAGCAAGCTCGACGTCGAGATGTACGTTGAGCAGCCCCACGGCTTCGTCGACCCAAATTTCAAGGCGTGCCGTCTGCTCAAGGGCCTCGAGGGGACCAAGCAAGGTGGCGCCATCTTCCAGAAGGAGAACACCGCCGTCCTCAAGGCGTGCGGGTTCGAGCAGTGCGCCGCCGACCCAAACCTCTTCCGCATCATCTTTGACGACGGAGGCTACATCATCGCCGTCGTCTACGTCGACGACATCTTCGTCCGCTATCAACGCCCGACCAAGGGACGAGTCGACACCACCTTCGCGCGCTACTGCCGCTTTCAAGGCCACCCGCGTCTCCGAGCCGAGGCGCATGGTCGGCTTCGACATCGCTCGCGATCGACCCGCCCGCATCAAGCTGCGAGTCTTCCAGACCAACTACGTCTGCGAGCTGTACAAGAAGTACCTAGCTCGCAGTGCTCCAAAGACTTCACCACGCCTGTCCAGTCGTCTCGTTGCCCCGAGTTCATGGCCATCACTGGGGCGACCTGCGAGGAGGACGACCGCGCCGTCGCTGACAAGCCCTTCCTCCCGCTCATGGGCGGGCTGAACTGGATCGGCTGGACGCGCCAGGATAGTCCTACTACGTGGTTACAACCACGCGCCCCTCAGGAGCTAAGGTAGAGCTGAGCGAGCGTCCCAGACGCCTCGGTGCCTCCCACCGGCGTGAAGACCATCACACACACACACTCCTGTGGAGAGAGTGTGTGAGACGCCATCGCGCCGAAGGCCTTCCTCCCTTAGTGCTTTACATCTGCTCGTGTCAGTGCTCGGCAGTGCTTGCCAGCGCTCCTGACATGGCCCTGAACGCCAGCCATCATCACGCGCCGCCGCCGCCAGCCATGGTCCCCATGACCGACTCCACGCCGACACTCTATCCGCTGCTGCTGACGGTCGCATGCACCATAGTCATGTCCTTCGGACGGGCTCGATCAGCTTCGCTGCTCATGGTCCTCGGCGGGCCAGCAATCGTGCATAGCATCTGGCTGGGCGTACCCGGCGAGTTTTGGGCCCATGTCCTCTTTGGCGTAGTGTGCGTGACGGCAGGCGCCGTCGCCGGCCGCACCGGGCAGCTTGTCAGCGTGCCGGCATGGCAGGGTGGCACGGCATCGCTCATCTTCGTCGGGCTCATCATTGGCGAGTATGCGACCGTCGGGTTCGGCAATCTAAAATATGTCGCGCATGTCCTGATCTACGTCAGCTGTCTGCTGCTCACGCTGAGCGCCACCGCGGAGGACATGTGCGAACGGTGCTGCGGGTTGCTCGCCTGGCGGCTCGTGCGTATACGCGTGCGCCTGGCTCGTGTCCTGATCGACCCGAGCTGCCTGGCGTCCATTGGCATCATCTTTATGGCGCATCGCCACGACCCCAGCGACATCGCGATCATGTTCCATCGCGTGCAGTCCGCGCTGCTCCTCTCGCTCGCGCTGGCCGTAGGCAGCACGGCCGCGGCCAGCGCGCAGCCGGCCGCCGCAGCCGCAGGCCCCGGCCTGCACACGCTGCACGTCTTCTGCTGGGTCCTGAATGGCTTCTGGCTGCTCGGAATGGCAGTGCTCCTGTACCTGTGGCGTGGCCGGCGCGGGATACACCACACGCTGTACGCTGGCTCCGACGCCGGCGAGGCGGCCACCCTGTACTTTGCGCTGACGCTGCTGGTCTCCGCGACGGCCGCCGCTGCGCTTACCGGAGCGGGCCGAAAGGAGCTCCAGGCAGCATCTCAGCCGGAGCTCGGCTGCCGTGCGATTGGCCGGGATGATACCATGGCGCCGTTGACGGGGGGCGCAGAGGGCGGCGAGAGCTGACTTGGGCTAGACTTGATCGGGCCGCTCTCGCGCGCCGCCATACGCCAAATACGTGTTGTCAGCTGAGGCTGCCGCCATGTGCAGGTTAGTTATGTCCTCACAGTTGAGCACGCGCCCGGCCGCCGGCGGGCTGACGTCCATGTTGCGTCTACAGAGTACAGTGTCCATGCTTCGTGGCCAAAAACGAAAGTGTAAATAAATGCAAGTTCTCGAAGTTGTTAGTAACGCCTCTCGCTTGCGGCAACCAGCCTCCAACAAAGCCTCCCGCCCTGCCTGCCCCCGGCCCGGAGAGAGACGCTCAACCTCTCCCCGCGCGCCGTTCCAGCTTCCAGTTCCACTTCGGCGATCGTTTTCTTTTTTTGAGAGCGCCCACAGCGCGCACCTCGATCCTGTACCGTGTTTGTTATCCCCCCCCCCCCCCCCCCCAAACGAGCAACGAACACACCAGCGAAGGAGGGCGGCGAGACGATCGAGGGGTCCCGTGCCATGCGGAATCGACCCCATCCCATTGCAACCAACAGACAGTGCAACAAACAAGTACTCGAGTGCAACCGGATGGTGTCGCAGTCAGTCACACACCGCGCCTGCAAGACTTGGAGCGCACTTGGAGTGCAGTTGGTCGGCAAACTCGCGGCAGCCCCGCAGAACCCTGGCGGCGAATCCGTTGACGACCGTCGGGACGAGCGAGCTACAATGATGTTAATGTGTACGTACACTACAAGGAGAGCGGCTGCTTTCGCCCGCACACGCCACCATTTACTGAGAAACACGACAAAATTTGCCTTGCAGATTCTTGGGCAAGTAAGACTAGTTTTGGGCAAGTAAGACAGAGTTGAGCTCCGGCGTCCGGCGGTCAATCAATTGCCGCAGGCTGCCGCGGGCTGCCTCTTTCTTTGCACCTGGCGTGCAGGCGGATAGGTTCCGGTGCCGCCAGATCAGAGAACTGCCCACCTTCAGAGAGTTCTAGTCACAGAAAATCGTGGCGTGAGGACCTCCGGTGAGGACCTCTGCACTCTTGGCAGGTGAGGACCTTTTGCTGCCTCTGCGCTCGCTTGGTCGGCCCAAATTGGCCCCACGGTATAGGACCACCGCAGAGCTTTGCCGTGTCAGGCAGGGCTGGGCTTATCGATCGTGCCTCCTTTGTAAAATGTGGAACAGTAGGACAGATGGCCACACGCGCACAGTGAGGACTCCGATATCAGTGGGAGGAGGACCTCTGCCGCAGAGATGGGCTTGTGGGGACCTCGTGTGAGGACTTCTTAGGTCGACCCTTAGGCCTCGCTGCGCTAGCTGGCCTGCCTTATCTCGCTGTGGACTGCTCCCCACGTCATGCCGATGCAGCTGTGCTGATGCTGTTGTGGACGAGGCCGCCTGCGTCTGGCTTTCCGGTGGTGGAGGCGGGACAGTGAACCCCCTTTCCAAAGCAACCAGCTGACATGTTTTGTGGTTAGAGTACGGGTCCGGTGCAGATGTGCGCTTGACGTGCCTACGCCGCACCTCAAGCTCGGTCAGACATTTTCTTATACCTAACAAGGTCTGTGAACAGCGACTCTGAGGAGAGCGCCGTCGTCGGCGGACGTCACATACACATCATCTGGACTCCATGAAGAAGCTCTCCTCGCTCGAGTCGTCTTCGCGCGAGGCGATCGGCGCGGCCGAGAGCGCGGCTCGGGCTGCGACGGGCGCCGCCGCCTCGCTCGAGCCCCACACGGCTGCCAGGGCGAGCGCTCTCGCTGCGGCCAACGCGGCGGCAGCTTCCTACGAGCGTGCCGTTCAGCTTCAGCAGGACGTGGCCGATGTGCTGGGCGCAGGCGCTCGCCGTATCCGTCAGCCAGCGTCTGTGGAGCAGCAGCTCGAGGCGGAGCGGCGGCGAAGCGCGCAGCTCGAGCGGGCTCTCCAGCGCTTGCGAGCCGAGAAGAACGCCGAAGTCGAGAAGGCACGAGCGCACACACAGACGCACCGCTCTCCCCACCCACCCACGAGTGGTGCCTCACCTCTGTCTACCGATACGCGTTAGGTGCAGATGCTGGCCATCTCTCTTGTCGAGCGGGCGGAGGAGGAGGCGAGGCAGACGCTGAGAAGGCAGGAGGCGGGCGCGCGGCTGGCGCTGCGTGTGCAGCTGGCGCTACTCCGTCGCCGCCGCCGCTCTGATGGCCAGTCGTGGGCCGGGCTCGAGGCCGAGGCCGAGATGTAGCCGAGATTCGTCGAGATCGAGACGAGATCTGAGATTTTGCCAGGCTCGAGGTTCAGCCCTAGCTCGCGACCCCGCGAGATTGCGCCGAGATTAGGCGCTGCGTTCGCACCTCGCGTCGGCGGTCGGTTTCGGCAAGCGCGCGGCGGGCGTTGACGCGCCCGCGAGCGTGCTCGCAGTGCACGTCGCGACGCTGCGGCGAGAGCTGAAGGAGGCGTGGAAATAGACGTTGGGCGGGGGCACGCACCGCGTAGCAGTGGCTGCAAGCAATGTCGCCAGCCTCAGCAACCTGAAGTTATACCAAGGGGCTAGCTAGCTCTCGCACATATGGATGATATCTACACCCGCCCGGATCGGCAGGTGGAGAAGGCGAAGGCGGTCCGTACTCGCGCTTCCCGCTCAGTGGCGGGAGCGTTGCAGCCTCCTCTGCTCGGCCTCTCTCCTCCACCGCCTCCACCGCCACCGCCGCCGCCCCCGCCGCCGCCCTCGATTGCTTCGACCTCGAGGAGCACAGCGGCTGCTATCATTTTGCGGGAGGGGGCTGACTGCACGGCACGTCCATGACACGTCCATGACACGCCCCCCACAGGAGCAGCAGCCGCGGCGGAGGGCTCGGCGTTAGCCTCGAAGACTTGGTGCGGGGCAGCGAGGCGCTTCGGTCGGCGGGGAGCACACCCCTTCTCTCCTCCCCTTCCCTGTCCGCCCCCCCCGGCGACCCGATGATGGAGGAGCTCAAGCGGCGGCTCGAGAGCCGGCGCTCCTCCCTCTCGGGCGGCACATCGCCCCAGCCGAGCCCGCGCCGCAGCAGCCTTGGGGCTGGTATGGGGGCTGGTATGGCCAATGGCGGCGGCGACGGCGACGACGACTCGCACGCGCGGCTGTGGGGAGTGCAGCTCAGACCCGCGGGGGGGGCGGCGGCGCGGGGCCGGCGACACTCGTGCTCGGGCAGGATCGAGACGGCATCGGTAGAGCAGGCTGACGCCCGTGCCATGCCTCGGTTTCCGCCCCGCGCGCCGCAACTCCGCCCGTCGCAGCTGCCGCCGCCGCCGCCCGGCCTGCGGATGGCCAGCACGCCATCGACGGTGACGGCGCCTCCGCGGCTGTTCGACGAGCCTCCGCGTGGCCAGTGCGTGGTGCTCAGGGGGCTCTCGTCCCGCCCAGACCTCAACGGACAGCGAGGCGACGTGTGGAGCTTCGAGGGAGGCCGCTACACGGTGGCGGTCGAGGGCGGCGGAGAGACTGTGCGAGTCCGGCCGGCGAACTTGTCAGCAGAGCCAGAGGGCGCAGCGTCGACTTCGGCGCCGATGCTTCGTGCTCGCACTATTGCCGCCCGACCAGCAAACGCGCCGCACGGCGCGCCGAAGAAGCTTGTTGCGGGCGGCGCTAGTAGCGCCGCCGGCGGCGACGCGGCGAGGCAGAGCTCGCGGCGGGAGAGAGACGGCGCGAGTGGGCCGCCGCCGGACGGCGGTGCGCGGTGGGCGAGGTGGAACGGCCTCACGATGGACTAGCTAGGAGATGGCCGCGTGGCAACACTGAGCTATACACAGGTATCATTTTTTCACACCGTCGTCAGACGGTGGGGATGGACATGTGGCCTCGTTCTTCCCATCTAGATGTATACTTAGGTAGTCTTTCTTTGCTGAGATATACGTGATATACATTGAAAGCGACGAATGAGCCGGGCAGCGTGTTGCCCTTGAGCTAGTCCTTCCCCGGTCGCATATAGCCTCTGCGCTGTCTGGCGAACGCCTGTATGCCATGCGGATGCGCGCGGACCACGCTTGCGTGGGTACGTGGCTGGCAGGCTGACCCGTGTGCGGTGTAACCCGCGCACGAGGAAGCTTCGCGGGTTCGAGTCGTCAGCGGAGGTGTGCCGAGGGGGGCCGGGAGGCGGTAAGCCGTCGTCGCCCGGCGCTGCTTGCAGCACCATGGCGATGGCGCTAAGAGGTTCCTCTTTTCCGCGCCCCCCCTCCGCGCACAAGGCGCGCGATATACCTACCACCTACCTGCCTACTCGAGTACCAACCAGGCGGAAGAGACGGTGCGGTGGCTAGGGAGGAGGTGGCGGAGGGTGGTTATATGATGTAACATACTTGACCCCCCCCCCCCCCCTTGGCGCCTCGTCTTTTCGTGCCAAACCAGCTGATCTCGGCCCGCCGTCCTCCGCTCGCGCCGGCCGCCCATGCGCTCGCGGGGCTACCCGACGCGGCGAGCCTCGTGCCGATGGACCCAGCCGAGGTGCCCAACCAGTTGGAGAGGCGCCGACGCGCCGCGCGCGACCACCAGCCAGCTTTTCAGCAGGGCCGAGCACGGACCACAGTGCGTCGAAAGAGTCGACACTCAAAGTAGCTGTCGAGTTTTTTGCCTCTTTTTGAGCGCGGCTGCTGCACACCCAGCCCACCAGTGATACGAGACGCACCGGATCCAACCCTGGCAGCGCTTGACCGCCACCCCGGTGACCGCCCACAGGTGGCTGACCGCATCTTCGCCCGTCTGGGACCTCTTCGTACGGCTCCAAAAACCGCTCCTTAACGACCGGGTACACGCACACGAGCCGCGGTCGTGTACCCGTCTTAGCGGCGAGGCGTGGGACCGTCTGTGGCGAAGTGGGTCGCGTCCCTGAATTTCCGTCAACTCACGGTCCTTCCCCCGTACGCGGGGCCAACCCTCGGAGACCCGTGTTTAATTTACGGCCCTTTCCCTGCGAACGCGCACCCCCCAGGGCTAGGGCTCTCTAGCCCGTAACCCGATGCCGATCATCCGGCCCGCTGGGTGTGCTTCTTAGCCCCCCGGCCCTGGATGTGAGGTTACCGACTGCACTCCAAGTGCTCCAAGTGCTGGTTCGAGGAGCCGCGGCGTTGTGCGTTTATGTGAGGACGGGGCCGCCCGTCTCCACCGCCATCCTCGCCGCCACCCTCGCGCCGCCGCCTCCATCCCCGCCTCCACCATCCCGCCTCCATATGGTGTAACATACTTCCGGGACGGTGTGCGGGGAGCGAACCTTAGCGACCGCCCAGAAGCTTTCTGAGCGAGCCAATCGGGCCAGGATCATCAGCATATGTCCCCTCCACAACATCGTGGGCGTTTGAGCGGTATTTGAGGAGCACCGCGACTCTGAAGTTCGGCCGGGTGGTCTGCAGACCCCCCCCCCCCCCCGGAGCAGCAGAGGCTCCGTGGGGTCGAAAAGTCGACGCTGGGAGTCGCACTCGTCAAGCCATCGCAGCACCACGCGGTCCGCACGTACCGCCCACATCCCCTCAACCGCTGAGAAGGCGCAGATCGACCGCAGGGCCGCGTAGTCGTCGTTAAGGAGCGGTTTTTGGCGCACCGGCCAGGGCTACAATAGTGCCAGTGAGGCGGAGGCGCGAGTCGGAAGGCCGCGACCATCAAGTGGTTACCCAATTTTCCTACAATGCTGTGGACCCAGCCACGACTTCTTTTTTCATGTGCTGCCACAAAAAGAAAAACTTCCGCAAAAAATCATTACTCTACCAAACAGCCAACACCAAAGCAACAGAGAAGCGACGTCTCATCACAGCAGCTAGACAAACCTCACGAATCTTCTGCCGCAATAAGAAAACACACGAGTTTGAGGATGAGAATGGCCTGCACCATTTGAGAATGAGAATGGCAGCCTAACACACAACAAGCGAGCGGGCAAAGCTTGTGCACCATTTGCACAGGACCCTCGACAGGACCTTTCCTCTCTAAACACATCATATCAGCTGGTTGCTTTGGAAAAGTGGTTCACTTCCCGCCAGCACCGGAAAGGAGCCAGACCGGGTGGCCCAGCATCAGCCACAGCATTCGCCATGACGTGGTGAGCAGTGCAGAGCGAGATAAGGCAGGCCAGCTAGCGCAGCGAGGCCTAAGAGTCGACCTAAGAGGTCCTCACACGAGAGGTCCTGACAACATCAGAGGTCCTCACTGTGCGTGTGGCCATCTGTCCTACTGGTCACTTTGAAAAGGAGACACGATAAGCCCAGCCTGCCTGCCTGAGACGGCAAAGCCCTGCGGTGGTCCTATACCGTGGAGGCCAATTTGGGCCGAGCAAGCGAGCGCAGAGGCAGCAAAAGGTCCTCCTGCCAAGTGCAAGAGGTCTTCACCGGCGACGATTTTCTGGCTAGAATGAGGGTGGGCAGTTCCGATCTGGCAGCACCGGAACCTATCCGCCTGCACGCCAGGTGCAAAAAGAAAGAGGCAGATAGAGGCGCTAGTTGCAATTGATTGACCGCCGGAACTCAACTCTGCCTTACTTAGCCAAAATTAGAAGTGTAGAGTGAAGTAAGACATTTTGTCATGCTTTCCCAGTAAGTAGTGTGCGAAGTCTGTGACAGCGACAGTCACCATCCCTATGTAGTATACGTACACATTAACATCATTGTTAGGAAGGTGACACAGTGGAAACACAGTGAGGCTCGGACTGGACACCAGCGCGGTATGCTTGGGTGGACGAACGGGGCGCGGACGAATACACATCGTAAAATCCCGGTCGCGGCCTCGTCCACAACAGCATCAACAACAGCATTCGACATGAAGTTGGGAGCAGTCCAGAGCGAGACAAGGCAAGCCAGCTAGCGGAGCGAGGCCTAAGAGTCGACCTAAGACTCGCCTCTAGGAGGTCCTCAGAGCGGCTTCATCTCTGATCAGAGGTCCTCACTGTGCGTGTGGCCATCTGTCCTCTGTTCACATTTTATAAAAGGAGGCACGATCGATATGTGCTCCAGCCCTGCCTGACACGGCAAAGCTCTGCGGTGGTCCTATACCGTGGAGGCCAAAATTTGGGCCGAGCAAGCGAGCGCAGAGGCAGCAAAAGGTCCTCACCAAGTGCAAGAGGTCCTCACGCCACGATTTTCTAGGACACTCTGAAGGTGGGTAGTTCGAAGAGGCAGGCACGGGACCTACCGGCCTGCACGCCAGGTGCAAAAGGAAAGAGGCAGCCTGAGGCAGCTAGTTTGCAATTGACCGCCGGAGAGCTCAACTCTGTCTTACTTACCCAAAATTACGGTGCAAGTGTACCTCTCTCTCTCAAGTGTAGAGGGAAGTAAGTCATTGGTCATGCTTTCCCTTGTGCACCAACGTTCCCTTCGAGCTTTCCCTTGTGCACCATGTACACCAGCACGGTACTGAATACAGACACATTATTGTCCTACCTACCTACCTACTCGAGTACCAACCAGGAAGGAAGAGACGGTGGCGGTGGCTAGGGAGGAGGTGGCGGTGAGGGTGGAGGCGGAGATGGTGGAGGCGAAGACGGAGGCGGTGGCGAGGGCGGCGGCGAGGATGGCGGTGGAAAGGGCGGCGGCGAACTCCCGGCTCCCTCACCAGCCTAGACCAGGAACCCTGAACACGCGTGATAGCGGGCCGAGCAGCGAATCTGATTCCCGACGCGATGCCGACAGCCCACATCAGCGCGGGACGCGAAGAGCTACCCACCGTCCCGACGCTGCCGCCGCCGCCGCCGCCGCCGCCGTGCAGTGAAATCGCCGGCCGCACGGTGCTCACCGAGGGCGCCTGCAAAGACGTCCGCTATCCGGAGAACAACTGCAGCAACTTTTACTACCATACTGGGCCTCATATCAACACCGACAAAGACAAGTGGCGGCTGTGTGTGGCGCCGTCGGGGCTGGAGAAGGACGTGTGCGAGGGCGTTCTTCTCACGGGCTGCTGGCCACCGCCACCGCCGCCGCCGAAAGCTTGCCAGCTCGCCATCCCAGCGCGCGCCCAGACCCTCGATCCGGGTGGACGGCGGGATCACTGGCGCTCACTAGCGGAGCAGCACGGCATCCGCTCGCTGGTAGTCGAGCGGGCCGTTGGGCCGGCGGAGCTGTGGCAGTACGTGCCAGCAAGCGTGCTGCATTCGCTCAATGCCACCCTCGTGCCCAAAGCGCTCAAGCAGGCGCACAAAATGCTCGGCATCTGGGCCACCAATGTACGGTTCCTCGCTTCGGTCGCTGCCAGCAACGCAACGGCGATCTTCATCGAAGATGATGCCTCTCTCCAGCCGAGCTTCTGCGCTGGCACCACGGCCGCGCTGCGCCAACTGCGGTCGTCCAGTCCTTCGTGGGATCTCCTCCTTCTGGGACACTGCGGCGGCACTCGCGTCCGAACTTGCACGCGCATCCCTTCCCCTCAGCGGGGTGGAGAGGGCAGGGCACGGTGCCTCTGCCGTGGCGGCGCGTGTTGTCGGGCCCAACGGTGGCGCAGCCGGCCCCGCGCACAGCAGAGAGGCCGGCATGCACACCATGTAGGTTATCCGATGTGCACGCATGCCTACATTGCGAGCGCGTTCGGCGCGTCGCGGCTGCACGGTCTGCTCGCGGACTGGCCTCGCAGCTACGCTGAGGCGATTCTCCGCACCGCGCAGCCGGGCTGGGAGACTGCTGGCGTCGCGCCGAAGAGGCGACACTTCCACGACACTTCCTCACACTTCCACGACACCTCCACCACGACACCTCTAACTTCCGCAGCTACAATTCCATGGCAGATCGTTCTCGTGGGCAGGCGCGCGTCTCAGCAGCGCGTGGGTACTCTGATGGGGCTCCGCTCTCCTCTCCTCGCTGCTTCCTCGCCCGCGCAGAGCAGAGAAGCCCCACACCCGCCACACCGACCTGTGTGCTCTCATCACCCTGAGAGCCGCGCATCATTCTAGGCGGCACTCGAAGCGGCCTGTAGACATCGCGCACGACGTGCGCGTCGCGCAGCTCATCTACACGGGAAAGGTCGAGTGGCCAGCGCTGCCCCACCATTGGGTGTGTGTGTGTGAAGAAGTTTTACCTTACCTCACCTTATTCCTTAGGTCGACGCCCACGTGATGTGGCCGCAGGTGGCGCTGCAGCCGTGGATGATCGCGCCGAGGAGCAGGATCCAACGCGGCATTTCAGACATGAGGTTGCCACGCGCGTGCAGCTGAATGTCCCATGTCTGGTAGTCCAACATTTAAAGTCGCCGTAATAAACAAATAAAGAGAAGGATCTCCAGAAGAGATGGGCGACGCACGAACACAGAGGCACAGCGCGTAAGTCGACGTCTAAGAGCAAAAGAAGCGCCCGGAACATTTTTTCCCCTAACTCTCGGACGTCCCCGGGAGCAATCGTCGTGCGCCAGCGCGCGGCCTTCGGGCGGGGGGCTGCGCCTCGCTGCCCCACCCCCCAGCGATGCCATCCGTCAAGTCGGCCGTGTCCGCCGCGATCGACGCCATCGGAGGCGTCTCCCGGATCGGCGAGGACCCCGATTCGCTCATCCTCTTCAACGCCGCCTTCAGTGTCTGCTCCGAGAAGTGCCGCACCGTCATCCGGGAGACGGGCTTCTCGCACACCAACGTCAACGTGGACCTGACCACGATGATCAACTACGATCCGAGGTACGTGGCGCTGAGGCTCATGGCGTGGGATCATGCGATGCCGCTCGCCGGAGAGATCGCCGGCTGGACGGGGAGCAGCTCGATGGCCAAGACTGGCTTTGACCCATGCGTGGTGCCGCTCCTCGTGGACATGAAAGCCAACGGAGGCGAGGGCATGGTCATCGTCGACTCGGCGGTGATCTGCAACTACCTCGTCAGGCTGGCTGGAGGTGCGCTCATGCCGACGGAGCCACGCCAGCTTGCGCTCGTTCAAAAGCACATCGCGCTCGTCGACGACGCTCCTCACCCGGCGCTACTGTACGACGCGCTCCCCGCCAAAGACCTCCGCCCGGCCTACCTGAAGCATCTCACGGCTGGAGGCGGCCTCCACTTGCAGCAGATCCGCAAACTCAAGAATTATCTGTCGCAGGAGGGCAAGACCTGGGACGACCCGCTCCTCAAGCGCGCATACGAGGCCAAGCTCAAGAAGACGGAGGACGCACTCCGGGCGACACAAAGCATGGAGGGCGGCGATAGCTCCTACATCGAGGGCTCCTTCCAAAAAATGAGGGAGTACCTGCAGACCTTGGAGGCCGATCTGAAGGCCAGCTCGGGCGAATGGCTGTGCGGGGACAAGATAACCCTGGCGGACGTCTTTGAGGGCTGCTCTTTGTACCGGCTGATGTTTCTCGGCTGCGCCTTTTTGTACGAGGACTTGCCGATCGTGGTGCGATACAGCGGACGCCTCTTCAGCCGCCCGTCCTTGTTGCGCGCAGTCATCCTCAACCGCGACACGATGCCGAGCAAGCACGTCGCGCCCTTCTACGCGGAGCACGAGGGCTGGCTGTCGGGGGTCCTGCACTGCCGCAAGGAAGACCTGATCAATGTCATGACCAATCCCGCGACGCCGTATGCCGCGGCGGGTGCGGCGCTGCTTGCGGTCACGTACCGACGGGATCTCAAGCAGGACTCGCTGCTCGCGCACGGCGAAAAGGAGAGCAGCGCCCCACAGCTTCGCCGTGAAGCCCAGTCCGGCCAGGAGCAAATCGTCTTCCACGAGCAGGTAGCGATCGCAGCGCGCCGGAAACTGCGATGCCCAGATGACGTCAGCGACCTGCCTGGACGTTAGGCTGGTCGGCGCAAACTGGAAGCGATGAGAGTGGTTCAACCTGCGAAGCGCACCCGCCGACCAAGGGGCAATGTCGCGCGCCGGCCTGCTGGCTAATGGCAGCCCTGTCGCATCCGCGGAGGCAGGAAGGACAAACGGGCACCCGCGCACCGCCATCTTGAGGACCATGCACTTGTAATTTCATGCCGCCAGTTCGTGGCGTGGGAGTTTTGTGGAAAAATTCTACGAGTAAAAACCGCCGTATATCCAACAAGCTGTACCCCCCTCGGACACGTCCCTCCCTGTCCTCTCGACTCGTTCCTCTACTTGCGCCTCCACCGCTTGCGAGCGAGCACCCCGCCCCGACTTGCTTCGCATGCGGTGACCTCCCACGCGCTCCCTGGCCGCCCGCGCGACTCCTAGAGGACAGAGACCGTGGACGGACCCTCCCCACGGCCGCTCGCGAGCGCTCGGTGGTCAATCTCACCTCAACCACCCTCAGCGCGCGCGCGAGCGCGCCGCCACTCGGCCGCACGCGTGCACACTTGTGCCTGTGCGGTGTGGACGCGCTCTCGACGCGCCCCTCTGACACACAGGCGTCCCACTAGGTGTCCGCTGGTCCTCGACACCGCTGACGTCGCCACTATCGCCATCTGCGAAGGCTAGCCCGCTTCGTCGCCACGCTGCCCAGCGACGACGGCGCGGAGCTCATGGCATCGTCCTCTGCGCCTCTCGGACTCGAGTTGCTCGTTCCCGCCGGCGTCGCACAGCTCGGCATCGTCCGCGCCCGCAGCGAGTATTGCCTGACCGACGCCGACCTCCAAGGGCTGCCCCGCTCAGCGCATCCCGGCGCTGGCGTCATGTTCTCCGTCAAGGATCTCGCTAGCGTCGCCATCCTGAAGGGGTACCGCGAGCGCGGGCAGCGGGTCGTGCGTATCAGCAGGCCCGACGTCTCGCGGGCCGAGACGCTCTTCCTTCCCGTCGGCATCATGACCACGGTCGGCGAGGTAAAAGCCATGATGCCGGGACGCGCAGACCTCCTCGGGCGCCGGCCCGAGCTCTGGCTCCGACCTGAGGAGCGGCGCGCTGGCTCCTTCTGACCAAGGAGCAGACTTTTTATTTGACAGAATACGCCGTTAGTCCAACCAGCAGATGTGAAAAATGGTAGCGAGAGTGCACACCCGTGTGTGAGCGTGCCCCGGACGCACCCGTGAGGCGTGAGCGTGACCCATTGCCGCCGTGAAACAAGCACATGGCTAGCAATTGCAGGCGGCCCTCGCGCAGCGCAACGCCCCGCGTGCAGCGGAGGCGGCGACCGACGCCTGTCTGAGCCGTACGCGGGCGAACGCGCCCCGACACGCAGACTGACGCTGACGGCCGCAGCAGCCCTCGCCCCCGCCACGTGGCACCCCTCGCCCCCGCCACACCCGCGCGAGCTCGCCCGCTGTGGCGGCGCGGCGGTCACGGTAACAGGCGCGACCGCACTGCCTCTCGGCCGCTCTAGCCGAGCCGAGGGCGCCCTCGCCCTCGCCCTCGCCCTCGTCGCCGCCGGCGTCCTGGGTCGTTGCGGTCGGTGTGGGAGGGCGTGATCCAAACGCAAGCGTTGGCTGCCGAGCTGCTTGCGCGGGGCCGGGACGCGGGAGGAGCGCCGGGACGCGGGAGGAGAGGCGGGTGCGGCGACCGACGCCGCGCCGCGAGCAGCGGGAGCGTCAGGACGGAAGTGCGCGACACACCCTGGCGATGGAGTATGAACAAGACGAGCGGGAGGGCACCGAGACACATGTTCGCCGCACCGGTGGATGGTCCAATGATGGTCGTCGTGCCTGCGCCGGCGGCTATTGCAGCGGCAGCGGCGATCGCAGCAGCAGGGCAGCTAGCTAGGATCACCGGCGCCTCACCCGCCCGTGGAAGCTTTGTGGCCTTGTCCGGCCACGTTGTACGGATCAATGTCGCCGGCGCCGAGGGATTACAAGCCGCGCCCGCCTGAGCGAGCGGCGTCAGCCAGCCGCGCAGCGCTCGGCGAATCTGAGTGAATGTCGGCGGCGCGCTCGCGACAGCGCAGCGCCGCACCGTGTGCCCTGCAGAAGGCGAGCGTCGTCGCCCGGAAGGACGGCATCGCGCGGAGCTGGCTCTATGGACGCACGATCAGCGCCGTCCGCGGCTCTTCCTGCGACAGGAAGCAGCAGGGGCTGTCATGCCGCCGGAGCGGTCTCGGCACCACGTCGAACGCGCGGCGGCGGGGGAGGTCTGTGGGTCGCCAGGGCGCGTGTGCGGGCCGAGGGTGCGCCGGTGGGCGTGTGGGGTGGGGAGGGTTGCTCAGGAGCGCTCACACGCACGCACGGCGACGCACGGCGCGATTTGCTTCGCATGCGGTGACCACAGTGGCCGAAGGTGGTGCTCGCTCGCAAGCGGAAGAGGCGTGTACATACACGGAGCCTCTGCTGCTCCGGGGGGGGGGGGGGGGGTCTGCAGACCACCCGGCCGAACTTCAGAGTGGCGGTGCGATGGCGCTAAGAGGTTCCTCTTTTCCGCGCCCCCCCCGCAAGGCGCGCGATACACACTGCTCCTCAAATACCGCTCAAACGCCCACGATGTTGTGGAGGGGACATATGCTGATGATCCTGGCCCGATTGGTTCGCTCAGAAAGCTTCTGGGCGGTCGCTAAGGTTCGCTCCCCGCACACCGGCCCCGGAATAAGTTGCATCATAACACACAAGGTGGTGGGCAAGGGGGGCAGCCGTCGCATCCCCACACCTGACGACACGGGCAGGAGCGCCATGGCATTCAAAGGTAAGGTAAGGTAAGGTAAGGTAAACTTCTCCACACACACGAGGTGGTGGGGCAAGGGGGGGCGACCCTCGCGTCTCCACGTCTAACGACAGGAGCCCCACGGCATTTAAAGTGCAAGGCCCGGTGCGCGTGGGTGAGCGGTGTGTGTGTGTGTGTGTGTGTGTGTGTGTGTGTGTGTGTGTGTGTGTGTGTGTGTGTGTGTGTGTGTGTGTGTGTGTGTGTGTGTGTGTCACGTCACTGCATCCTCTGCCGGTTCCTCCCGTCGCCTTTTCTTTGTTCGAATGTTTTTCAATCCTGGCATTCAAAGATAGTGCAGGGGCCGGTGCTCGCGTGGGTGAGTTAGCAGCCCTACGTAGAGACCAGCCCCTCCCTCCCGACACACCAACTCCCGCACACCCACAATCGCACTTGGCCAGTCATACGGGGAGCCGAGAGAGACACCGGTGAACGGAGATCATGTGTGGGGTGTGCTCTCTCTCTAATAGCATGAAAAACCAACACTGGCCTCGAGACACTGGCTTGTGCTCCGCCCTCTTAGCACTTAGCTTCGTCATAGCGCTGTGCCGAGGCGCTTTTTGTTGCGTGCGGCGTGGGGTGGCAGGAAACACGCGCGCGAACAAAATAGGATTCCTGTTGCGATAGCTAGATAGAGCTACAACCCGCAGATGGTGCAATGCTGGTGCTGTGTGGCGAATTACACACCGAACCTGGCTCTTTCCAGCCCTGGCCCTCCTCGACGTCTATGAGCACATCCCGCCGCAGAGCTTCCAGCTGCCAAAGAGCTCCGACGGGAAGATCGCCAGAATCACACACCAAGTGGCCGCGCACACGGTGCAGCAGGTGGTCACCCAGACGGCGACAAAGATGAAGACGTACGTGTGGTATCTCTAGAGGTCCCCTCATCCGTCTACCGAGGATGTCGGCACGGAGAGGTCCTCAGTCTCAGCCCGGAGAGGTCCTCAGGTGCCGCCAGCGAGGTCACCGGATCTCAGTGGTGGGCCGTCCCGGCTACGACGCAACAACACTAACGTGACCCAACCAGCTGTACAGGAGGTGGGGGTTGTGGTGGCGGCCAAGGTAGCAGCATCGTGGTCCGTGTGGCCGGTATGTGTGTGCGTCTCCTACTTCATCGTCGTTCTTTTCCTCGCTTTTGTTAAAGTCTTTCCTCTGTGGGGCCTCGTGTGGATTTAAAATCCTGCTGTTTAAATTCAAGATGCACGAGAGACGAGAGATGTCCTCACGAGAGGTCCTCATGAGGTCCTCACCTCAGAAGCCGAGCCGGTCCTCAAGAGGTCCTCACATGGTAATGTGATATGTTGCCACTGAGATACGTAGGATTCCTATCAGCAATCAGGAGGAGGCTCGTTGCCGAGCGTCGGGGCAATCGTGGCCGCGACACTCCCCTTCGATCCTAGGATTCTGGTTTTTTGCAGCCGATGAGCGGAACAAAAGCAGCAATCAGCAAAGGTATGCGTTGTGAAAAAGGTAAGGGAAACAATTTGATTTTTGGGTGCACAATCTCTAGCGACGTCGATCTGTTCCACTTGCCTTTTCTCTTTGAAGTTTTTTCTTTTCTGGTTTTGTTCTTTTCTGAGAGCGCCTTCGTTGAGCACTTGAGCACTGGATAGGGTCGGTTCCGCATGGTACGGGACCCCTCGATCGTCTCGCCCACCCTCACTGGTGTGTTCATCGGGGGGGGTCATAACAAACACGGTACAGGAGCGAGGTGCACGCTGCCGAAGCAGTGTCGTCCCCCCTAGCGCCTTCGTTGTGTAATAAAGGAGGAGTCCCTTGTCGCAGTCACACAACACACACCGCACCCGCGCCCGCACGCCCACCCCACCGCCCCGTCGGAAAGAGAGATGTGGGAGATTTGGACTTGCGCCAACGTGGAAAAAGAATTTTACGAGGAAAAGAAAGACCGGCGCTCAATTTCTTTTTTTCTATGCGTCGCTGTGGATTGAGCACTCTTGCTTCCATGCAAACCGCTTCGAGGCCGACCGCTCCGAGGCCACCAGTACCAGTGCCAGTGAAGGTCAAGCACGAGAACAAGGCAGCTACGACGGAGGGCACGGATCCTCTCGTCGCGGCCACCTCTGCGCCCGGCAAGTGCTGCTCGTCGGGCTGCGGCAAGTGCTGCTCATGGGGCTGCGACGTGTGCTGCTTGTGGTCGTACGAGTGGGCGTGCCTTCTGCCTCGCTGGTTCTTCCGCGGCATTTTTCCGGGGGGGTGGTGGGTTGAAACGGGGGCGACACCGCCGCTCGACCCGCCTTCTTCGGCAACGAAGACTGCGATTGGCAATGGCCTATTCGTGCACATCGACTACGACAGCTGGAACGAGCACTTGTACGACGTCATCCCTGTCTGGGTCGAGCTCCGGGGCCCGGTCACGGAGGCGCTCGAGATATCCATTTCCTTTGACGGCTCCGTCAACCTCTCGGTGGCAAAAGTAGTGGCAGGTCGCGGCTGGGAAACGGCGGCGGCGGCGCCCACGAGCGTTCCGGTCAAGACCATCGTCCAGCCCGGAACCACCGTCCCCTTCGCGCTCCTCATGCCGAATTCCAAGTTCCGACAGTGGGAGCTAAAGTGGGCTGCCCGTTGGCAGGGCGACTGGGTCAAGCCCACCGACCCTTGCGGCCCGGACTTAAAGTGCGCGGCGCTCGACCGGCGGGTGTGCGAGCTGGAAACGACGGTGCGCAGCATGCTGCGGGCGGAGGCGGCGTTACCAGCAGACGTTTTCGCTTTCGCGGAGGAGCAGCGTGCCGAGTAGTGCAGCTGTGGCATGAGTCGGAGGAAGGAGATGCGATCGCGGGCTGTGAGCGCATGTGCCGTCAATGAGAGCCCTTTTAGAGAGAGATTTTGTGCCGATTCTTTTGGTGTACCTGTGTTAGTGCCAGTGCGCGCCAGTCCCGTGCCTAGTGTGGTGTCTCGTGCGAGAAGTTATAAAATTCTTTTTGTGCACGGAGCTCTCCCCGCTTAACGGAGTCGCCTAGGCGGCTCCGGTGGTGTGCCTCCTGTGATAGTGCTAGCACGCGCCAGTTCGCACCTGTGTCGAGCCTGTCTGCTGTGAGAGAGAGTTGTTTTGTTTAAATTCTAATTTCTGTGCATAATAACTCCAAGAATCACACAACAAGCCATGGCCAAGTCAAACACTTACTACGACTAGCACATGAATGATCTAAATGTGCTAGTTATCGTAACATCTAACAATCCCATGACCCATATGCTTTCGTCTCAAAAACGCGCCAAGCTAGGCGCTCAGCGGCCCATGATTCATGGACGCCCCAAGGGAGTCTGTGAGCGGCGCCCCCAAGCACAGGGTTGTCCTCGCACGCCCATTCCTCTTCCCCACCCAAGCACTCAAAGATGCTCGCGAGAGGTCCTCACGGGAGGTCCACACAAGAGGTACTCACAAGAGGTCCTCACAGAGGCATCGCGACGCGTTGACGTCTCTACGATTCAGAGGTCGACACAAGTGGATGAGCGTGATGTGCTTCCTGGTGGTAATTCATCTTTTTCATTTCGTGCTGTTCGTGCCGTTACCACCTTGTTGCGCGGTGAGGAGACCTCTCGTGAGGACCTCCCGTGTGGTGAGGACCTCTCGGGCGGGGAAGAGGAAGGGATGTGCGAGAAAGCAACCTGCTTGTCCGCGTCGCCTCATGAACAAAAACACTCTCAATCCAAGTGCTCCAATCATGGGCCGCTGAGCGCCTATATAGGAAACAAACAACATTGCTAAAAATGTGTATCGCGCGCCTTGCGGGGGGGGCGCGGAAAAGAGGAACCTCTTAGCGCCATCGCCACGGTGCTGCATGCAGCGCCGGGCGACGACGGCTTACCGCCTCCCGGCCCCCCTCGGCACACCTCCGCTGCTCAATGTTTGACGGCTCGAACCCGTGAAGCTTCCCCGTGCGCGGGTTACCCCGCACACGGGTCAGCCTGCCAGCCACGTATCCACGCAAGCGTGGTCCGCGTGCATGGCATACAGGCGTCCGCCAGACAGCGCAGAGGCTAGGCGACCGGGGAAGGACTAGCTCAAGGGCAACACAGCGTCACCAGCCGTTGGCGCGCAGAACGAGTCTGCGGCCCCCGGTTGGGACGAACCGCTCAATGTGGCCGGCAGCTCGCGCTGCCGGCGGGGTTGGTTGGGGAGAACCGGCACGGGGATGGCCGGCCTCCCCGGAGGGGTCGCCCCCTGGAGGGGCCCCAAAGGGCCCCCCGGGGGGGCGGGGGCCCCCGCCCCGAGGGGCGGGGGCGGGTCCTTCCGTGTCGCTCCCCTCGTCGAAAAATCTCTCTCTCTCTCTCCTATATAGGTCTCTTTCGCCTGTACAAAGAAAATGGGATTCTTTGTTTGAATTGTCTTCTCTTTAGGGAGTTGACGCGAGAATTCTTTTTTCTCGGGCCTGCTCAACGACGCCGCGATTGAGCTTGCCTCCATGCAAACCGCGTCCTCGAGGCCGACGGCGGCGAGGCCGTCGGTGAAGACGATCAAGGACGAGAACACTCTCCTCGCGACTGCCTCCAACAAGTGCTTCGCGTGGGCGTGGGCAGCCGGGCCAACGGCGACGACAGACGCAATGGCGACGGAAACGGCCAATCTCGTCGCGAATGTCTCATCAGAGCCCGGCAAGTGCTGCTCGTTGGGCTGCGACGTCTGCTGCTCGTTGGGCTGCGGCAAGTGCTGCTCGTTGGGTTGCGGCAAGTGCTGCACGCGGTCCTTCTCGTGGGCATGCTGTCTGCCTCGTTGGTACTGCTCGTACGCGTACAGGTGGTTTTGGTCTTGCCGTGGGAAGTGGCCGGGCACCGGCACCGACGCCGATGCCACTCCGCCGCTGCTCCCTCCTTCTTCTGCAGAGAAGACCGCGATTGGCGATGGCCTATTCGTGTTCGTCGACTACGACATCTGGAATGACCACGTGTACGACGGCATCCCTGTCTGGGTTCAGGTGCCAGCCACGCCTGTCGAGGTAGCCATTTCCTTTGACGGCTCCGTCAACCTCTCGGTGGCAGGGGCAGGGCGCGGCTGGGACACGGCGGCGGCGGCGGCCACGGCAGTCGAGACCCTCGTCGAGCCCGGAGGTCCCGTCCCCTTCGCGCTCCTCATGCCGGTAGCCAAGAACCGACTGTGGAAGCTGAAGTGGGTTGCCCGATGGCACTTCGTGATCCCGCCGCCGCCGGATCCGTGCCCGCCGGAGCCGTGCGCCGACCTCAAGTGTGCGGCGCTCGACCTGCGGGTGTGCGAGCTGGAGACGACGGTGCGCACCATGCAGCGGGCGGAGCTGCGCCCAGAAGACGTCTTCACTTTCGCGGAGGAGCAGCGCGCGCGCGTGGAGCTCTAGAGTGGAGTGGGTGCCCCGTTCTTGTTTCTTTTCACGCTTCTTGTAAAATTCTTATCACGGCTTCTGTGATGAGGACGACGGCTTCTGCGCCTTGCCTGTTGTGCGTGTAAGCAAGAAAAGAACGAGAACAGGATACAACCCAAGGGAGGGATGGGAGGACGGCAAAGAAAGAAAGAAAGAAAACGGACAACCCAAGGGAGGGATGGGAGGACGGCACGCCGCCACCACACAGGGATTTTAAGGAGAGGGGTGTGATGCGCTAGCCGTCGCCCACCCTTGGGCGTCCGCCTCTTCCTATCTCTCTTCGCAGTCTCTCGCAGATTCGCGCTGCGACCTTCATGCCACCTCGCGGTCGCCCCCTTCTCGTCGTTCTTTCCCTTGTCTCTTCTTCTTCTGTCGCGTCGCTCTCCTCTGCTTCGTTCTGCGGCGCCGCCGCCTCCTGCCGGTCCCTTGCTCTCGCGGCTTCTTGCGCCTTTCGGCGCAGCTCCGCCCTCCTCGCTGCATATCCTGGCCCCTCGAGTACATCGAAGGAGGACGGCGGCAGACAAATTCTTTATTCGAGCGGACGACGACGAATGGAGGCTACGTGCCCGCCTTCGGCGACGTCCGCGTCGTCGCTCCTGCTGCTCGCATCCGACGAGGGCCCTTCCACCCGCCGCCGCGCCGCGCGTGAGCTCTGCCATCGCGTCGGATCCACGCCGGCGGCGCGTGCGGCGCTGCTCGAGCACCTCGGTGACGGTGGCGAGGAGGAGGAGGAGAGCGATGAGAGGCTGGCGGGCCCTCCGCTCGTGCTCGATCCGGACTATCGAGCGGCTGCTGTTGAGACGCCGCTGCTTGCGGCGCCGGCGTGGGGCTCGGGAGCGCTCGTCGAGACCGAGCACGCACGGCGCTGCCTCCGGCTCCTCTCGCTCTCTCTTGAGCTGCGGAGGCCGGTGCTGCTCTCCGGACCGCCGGGCGCCGGGAAGAGCACGCTGCTCTCCGCCTTGGCGCTCGCCGCGGGCCAGCACGACAAGATGGTGACCGTCCACCTCGACGAGCAGGTCGACTCCCGCTCGCTGCTCGGCGCGTACGTGTGCGGCTCGACGCCCGGTGAGTTTGTGTGGCAGCCGGGTGTGGTGGCGCAGGCGGCGGTGCACGGGCGCTGGCTGCTGCTCGAGGACGTGGACCGCGCGCCGCTCGAGGTCATGTCCGCCCTCGCACCCCTCCTCGAGCGCGGCGTCCTTTTCGTCCCCGGGCGCGGCACGTCGCACAGCGCCGCGCAGGGCTTTCGCCTGTTTGGCACAGTCACCAGCACCGTCGGGACGGGCGGCGGAGGAGGCGGCGCGGCGGCGGCGCGGGCGGCGGAGCGGGCGGTCTGGCAGCCCGACCTCTGGCAGCACGTCCACATCCCCTCGCCGCCCGCCTCCGACCTCGAGGCCTACCACACCACCCAACGGGGCTGAACCCACACTGGGTTCGACACGCTTGGAGGTATGGTACTAGGCGGTAGTCTGTGCGTCGCACCGCCGGCTGCGCGCCGCGGCGCCGCGGCTCGTCCGCTGCTTCCTGCAGCTGCAGGCCGCCTCGGGAGGGGAGGCGGTGGCGGCGGCGGGGGAGGCGGGACCGGGAGGCGGGGGTTGGACGCAGGTCTCCCCACCCGCCGCCCCGCCCCTTGCCTCCGCCACCGCGCCGTCGGGCGAGGGAGCTTCGCTGGCGGAGGCGGCCGAGGCGGAGCTGGCGTCGGCGCGGCTGTCGCTGAGCGGCGGCCGCGCCTTCTCGTCGCGAGAGCTGTTTCGGTGGTGCGCGCGGATGGAGGCGGCGCTCGCCGCTTGCGACGCCGAGCTTCCCCCGCCGCAGGAGGAGGGTCGGCTGACCTCCTTCTTCCGCGAGCTGGTCGTCACCGAGGCGCGCCTCTGTCGCGGTGTAGTCGAGATCTAGTCGAGATGCAGGCGAGATGCAGTCGAGATCGTGACGCCCTCTGTGAGCCGGCCGGAGATGTGGGGAGATGTGGGGAGATGTGGGGAGATGTGGGGAGATGTGGGGAGATCGGCGCCCTCTGTGAGCCTGCCGGAGCACTCCTCGTCGCAGGCGCTCGACACGTTTGCTTCCCCTGTCCGACGCGACGCGCCGCGCCAGAAGCTCGCCGCGCTTATCGCCGCCCAATGGTCCCTCCCCGCTCCGCAGCTCCGCCACCTGGTCCAGCTGCGCAGGCCCGAGCTCAGCCTTTCCGACGGCGTCCTCGCCATCGGTCGCGCCCGCCTGCCGCTGCCCCAGCCGACTGCGGCGGCCGAGGCGGCGGTGGCGGGCGCGGGCGGCGGCTTCGCGGCGACACGCCACGCCCTCGTCACGCTAGAGCGGGTCGCTGCTAGCGTGGCGCTCGGCGAGCCGCTGCTTCTGGTCGGCGAGACGGGGACCGGCAAGACGACCGTCGTGCAGCAGCTCGCGTCGATGCTCGGCCAGAAGCTGCTGGTGCACAACCTCTCGCAACAGAGCGACGCGTCGGAGCTGGTTGGGGGGTACCGGCCCGTGCAGCCGCGCCACGTGTACGCGCCCTTCGCCGCGCGCTTCGAGGACCTCTTCTGCCGCACCTTTTCGCGCTCCAAGAACGGGCCCTTCCTCTCCAAGCTGGCGCAGCGGCTCGCCAAGGGCGAGTGGGCGAGGCTGGTGGCGATGGCGGTTGGAGCCTGCAACTCTCACGCGGCGGCGCGGGCCAAGGAGCGCGGCGGAGAGGCTGCCGGCGGCGGCGGCGGCGGCGGCGGAGGAGGAGGAGGAGGAGGAGGAGGAGGCGGAGGAGGCGGCGGCGGAGGAGGAGGCGGCGGCGGCGGCGGCGCGGGCGCGGCCTTGGACGAGGAGTGGGAGAGCTTTGCGGCAGAGGCTGGCCGTCTCCGACACCAGCTGCGGCGCGAGGCGCAGGGCGGCGTCGACATGTCCGGGACACGACCACGACACGTCCGAGAAGTGTCGCGTAGGCGCGAGGCGCAGGGCGGCGTCGGCGGCGCCGCGTTTGCGTTCGTCGAGGGCGCGCTGGTTCAGGCCGTCCGCGAGGGGCATTGGCTGCTGCTGGACGAGGTTAACCTAGCGGCACCGGAGACGCTGCAGCGCGTCGCGGGCTTGCTCGAGGCGGGCGGCTCGCTCGCCCTCACCGAGAAGGGCGAGGCCGACGCTGTACCGCGCCACCCAAACTTCCGCCTCTTCGCCGCGATGAACCCGCCGACCGATTTTGGCAAGAAGGAGCTGCCCGCCGGCATCCGCTCGCGGCTGACCGAGCTATACGTGCCACGCCTTTCCTCGCCCGAGGTGAGACTACTAATACCGCGCCAGAGTGACAGTGATGAGAGTAGCAATGAGAACCGCCATAATGAGAGCCCTAGTCTCAATCACAATCACCACCGCAACCCCTCTCATCGCCAGGACCTGTCGCTGATCGTGATTGCCTACCTTGGCCCGCTGCTGCCCTCGCCTCCCGTCGGCCCAATCGTCGCCTTCTACCAAGCCGCCCTCGACGCAGCCGCCACAACGCTGCTCGACGGCGCCGACCAGCGGCCAGAGTACTCCCTGCGCACCCTCTGCCGCGCGCTGAGCTACGTGCGCGCCGCCGTGCCGCTCGGGTACGGCTTGCACCGCTGCTTGTACGACGGGTTCCACATCACCTTCGTCGCGCAGCTGCAGGCGCGCTTCCAGCCGCAGGTCGAGGCGCTGCTACTTCGCCATCTGATGCCTCCGAAGCCAAACAAGCCGCCCCGCCCGCCGCCAGCGAGGGCGCCTGCCCGGCCTTCGGGCGACGGCTGGGTCGAGATCGGCGGCTTCTGGCTGCAGACGGACCCTCGGCACACCGCGTCGGCCGAGGACCCGCGCTTCATCGTCACCCCCTCGATCGAGGCGCGCTTCCGCCAGCTAGCGCGCATGGTGGCGGCGGGCCGGTACCCAGTCCTGCTGCAGGGGCCGACCTCGGCCGGAAAGACGTCCGTGATCGAGCGGCTCGCCGCGGCGACGGGGCACGTCCTGCTGCGAATCAACAACCACGAGCACACCGACGTTCAAGAGTATATTGGCGCCTTTGCGCCCGACGAGCACGGCAAGCTCGCCTTTCCGCCGTACCTCCGCATACGCATATCTCCCCACATCTCCCCCGCATCCCACAGGTAAGCTAGTCTTCCGCGACGGCGCGCTCACCACGGCAGTGCGGCACGGCCACTGGGTCGTGCTCGACGAGCTCAACCTGGCGCAGTCGGAGGTTCTGGAGGCGCTGAACCGGCTGCTCGACGACAACCGCGAGCTGCACATCCCCGAGACGGGCGAGACGCTCACACCGCACGCGCACTTCATGCTCTTCGCGACGCAGAACCCGCCCGGCGCCTACGGAGGCCGGAAGGTCCTCTCGCGCGCGTTCCGCAACCGGTCCGCGCAAACCGTCGCACGCACATTGCCCCTCGTAGAGCATTGAGCCTCGCTCTGCTCGCTCATTCTCTGTCACTGCCCATGCACTCGGGGCGCAGCGGGCCCTTTGCCCCCCCTCTCTCTCTCTCCATCCTGCTGTGGCGAGGGTGTCTGCTCCACTCCTCCACCTGGCCTTCAGGTTCCTCGAGATGCAGACCGATGAGATCCCCACATCTCCCCATATCTCCCCATATCTCCCTCCAGGTTCCTCGAGATGCAGACCGACGAGATCCCCATATCTCCCCAAATCTCCCCAAATCTCCCTCCAGGTTCCTCGAGATGCAGACCGACGAGATCCCCACATCTCCCCATATCTCCCCATATCTCCCTCCAGGTTCCTCGAGATGCAGACCGACGAGATCCCTGCGGGCGAGCTGACGACCATCCTCGAGCGGCGGTGCGCCATCTGCACCATACCTCCCGGGTGCTCGAATCCAGTGCGGGTTCACTGCAATGGGTGGTGCGGTAGGTGCGCCATCCCCGCCTCCTTCGCCGCAAAGATGGTATCGGTGATGGGCGAGCTGCAGCGGCGCCGTTCGTCGTCGCGCGTCTTTGCGGGCAAGGCAGA